CATGCAAAGGAAAGAAGGGTGTGTGCAAAGTTTCAAGACGATAGCTTTAAAACTGAAAGACTAGTTCGCGTAGAAACGGACAGGAGGTGCTACTCCTGTCTACTCAGGAGGTGATCCTGATCAAGAATATATATACTTTATAGGGTCGGAGATGTCTCCTTCACTACGTTGCACAATTTTGACCAAAATTACAATACCCTCGCAAGGGTATAAAAATCATAAACTTATTATTCTCTGAGCGAAAAAATAAAAATCAGAAAATAATCATTCTATGATCGAAAAACAAAAATCACAAAATAACCATTATTCTATGATCGAAATAATTTTGTTTTAAAAACAAATTTAACCATTCTACCATAAGACGAACTGAGAGCATCCTGTGCTTGCTCTAAAACTTTTGGAACTATTCCAAAAGTTCGAACGTTCGGTGCCTTTATTGTTATCATCATTGAAACCATTAGTTTTTTCCACGAAAACTTTGAATATTTTGAAATCTGGGTGTATCGCTTGGTTAGCTTCTATGTGATCGATCAAGCTTCTGATGAAGTAAAATGCAACAATTTTAAATAAATTAATGGATTAATAAAGCCAATTACCTTGATGACTTCTTCATTTTGCCGGAAGGTGCATCAGTATCCGCGTTTTTAGTTCCTTTATTGTAAAGTATCGAACGTTTTAATGGTTCAAGTTTTAAAGATGATCGGTATACATAAAAATTTATTTTTCTCTTGAAATACAGATAAGCATTAAAGATCACTAACCAAATAGTTCCTTTGTACTTATCGTTTTACTTTTCGATAACTTTTCAAACATTTTTGTATATATGTGCTATTAAAAGAAGTGCGTAATTATTTACAAAACATCGATACCAACCGGAAAGTTGGAAACCAACTAGAAATTGGAAAATCATGAGTAGCTGCCATGTTAAGCAATTAAATATTATTATTATGATCTTCCTTAACGACAAGCCAGTCATCTAAATATACAAATATATGTGTCCTCATATGGGGAGGTATTGTCCCCATTGACTTGGTGTCCAAGTAGAGTGGTCCAATTTGAAATCTTTGGGATCAGCTTTCCAACAATTATAACTAGGGCAATCAGTCCAGGCGAAGCAATCAGACATGCTGGGGCAAAAAGCAACGTCCTCTTCATTGTGCAATCTCGAAAAACAAAATGTATTTTACATTAAAAACAATCAAAACCCTTTGGCCGGCACATCCCCAACGCTTCGTGACTGTACTTAACGGCGTCTGACAGCAACGATTGAGAGCTCCTTGTTGCGATCTTCCTAGCACAATGCTTGTGTCAAAATACGTTTTCAATGGGAAAGTCGCACAAGCCAGCCAATGATGAACCTCCTCATCTACGACCTTAATGCCCTTGAAGGCAGCGAGATCGACATTAATACATGTAATATATACAAGCCGACCTTGCTACCTATATAAAATCATGCATAATCTTCGAGCCAGGATTCATCATGCATTGTCAGCTCCAAATTTTATTGAGCACTTCTCCACATTTTGCCGAGCTGTTTGAGAAGTTGGCTTCGTACGACATTTTGTGCATAATGCTGGGTAAGTGGGTATTATATGAGATTTATACTGCGTATTATATTTGCAACGAATATAGACGCAGGCTCCATTGGCTTCATACTATCGATTGTCAGAAAAGGCATGAATTTAAATAGGTGTCATCGGCTCGGTATTGTGATGTCCTCTAAATGCGACAAGAGAATCTTCATTATTTTCCACGCTGTTTTCAAATGCAGTAAATTTACTCATCCCATTCAGCTTATTTAGCAAAAGATCCTGCAATAGAATATTTTCTTTGATAAGTGTCAACGGATACGCCGTTTTTATAATTGGGGGTTGTTTATGAATTTGAATTTGTTTTTATACCCTTGCAGAGGGTATTATAATTTTGTCCAAAAGTGTGCAACGCAGTGAAGGAGACATCTCCGACCCTATAAAGTATATATATTCTTGATCAGGATCACCTCCTGAGTTGATATGAGCATGTCCGTCTGTCCGTCTGTCCGTCTGTCCGTCTGTCCGTCTGTCCGTCTGTCTGTCTGTTTCTACGCGAACTAGTCTCTCAGTTTTAAAGCTATCGACTTGAAACTTTGCACACACCCTTCTTTCCTTTGCACGCAGTATATAAGTCGGAACGACCGGGATCGGCCGACTATATCCTATAGCTGCCATATAACTGATTGATCGGAAATGGTATAACTTTGGTGTTTTTAGAGTTAGAGAGTTCAAATTTGACACGAGAGCTATTTTTAGCAAAACATTACGACATGCCAAATTTCATAAGGATCGGACGACTATATCCTATAGCTGCCATATAACTGAACGATCGGAAATGACCCAACTTTCGTGTTTTTGAAGATAGAAAGCTGGAATTTAATACAGATTCTATTTTTGGTCAGTTGACCCAACCTACCAAATTTCATTAGGATCGGCCGACTATATCCCATAGCTGCCATATAACTGAACGATCGGAAATGGTATTTGGTAGAAATATCAACTTTCGTATTTTTGAAGATAGAAGTTTGGGACTCTTTTTAGATTTTGTATTGTAATAAATTGGATTATATTTTCCTATTTCCATAAGGATCGGCCAACTATATCCGATGTTTGCGATATATATCCGGTTTTAACTGCAAGGGTATATAAACTTCGGCTCCGCCCGAAGTTAGCTTTCCTTTCTTGTTAAATTGAATTTTTATTGTTTAATTGATTTTATTATCTCTAGTTATGTAGTTAACTAAATATAGGATTAGATAGCTTAGGGCGGAGCGGGATCGAAAGCAACCCAAGCGATTGAGACCGTTTTTATTTTCAAATTGCTATCTACGATTTTAGCAATTTAGGCTAGAGACAGGTGCTGGTACCTACGATTTAATATTTTTTTCGAAATCGAACCATTTTGTCAATTTCTCATAACCTAGTGACTCTTCTCATTTCTGCCCAGTCACTGGATCCACTCTACTCAAAACTAAACATATAATCATTGTTTTGCAATTTTGGTGTCATCTCCTATGGATAATAATGATCCATAAATTGATGACACTTGTGGGCAGAATATTGAGACATTCGTTATCGTAAACTCTTTTTAGACTAGCTTTGTCTTTTTTATAGCTTTGTCATAATTACTCTCGGTGACTTGGAATGCCTAGATAATTCCTACGGCTTCGCCAGAAAGGTTATCCTTCCTTCTTAACTTATCAAGGATCGTGGATTGTTTTTTAATAAACAGATACATCGATAAAAAATTTTAAAATATTAAAAATTATTACATTAATTTTTAAATTAATTTTAATATAATTTTTTTTTTATTTTAAAAATATTATTTTATTTTAATTAAATTTAATTAATTAAATTATAATTACGTTGGCGAAAATAAAAAGAAAACAAGAAAGGAAAGCTAACTTCGGGCGGAGCCGAAGTTGATATACACTTGCGTTGCACATTTCTGCCATTTTCAGCCTCTTGCAATAATAACTTCGCTTCTATCATTTGGCAACACAGGAATCCCAATTGATCAAACGTCCACATAACCATGCTCAAGAATTCTCTTTTTGTGAAAACTCTCTTTTCATCCTGCACGATGGGACCAACTTTGTGGTACCTGCTTCCCACCTAAGTATAGCGTCATCGGCAATACACGGAATAGCAGTCGTTCTCGGTCCCCGTCGACACAGCTAAAATTCCTTTCCGGCGTCCCCTGTTCATCCACAGATGACGATGCTCCATTTACACGGACTCCTTCCCTCGGTCCAACTGCCCTTTGGACCCGATTAGAGCTTCTCAAATTTCCTCGCCGGTGAGTCGGTGATACTTCCTTCTGTGAATGGATATTCACAGGGAATTCTCTCAACACAATGCAGGACCCAGTCATATGCCCGCTTCGCAAGCACTTAAAGCGTATTCGATGTCTTCTCACGAGCCTCCACCTCTCTGTAGGTTTGACTCCGATGAACTGTTGGCAGTCCCAATGTTGTCCAGATCCGCTGTCTTTGCTGAGGATAGGGCTGAATATCAGCAGCATGCCTTGCCCATTTCACTCGTTTGCTTATCGGGAGCTTGGCAACAAGCTCCTCCATAAGGAGCCATTTGGTTACCCAAATTCTGCTTTGCTTTTGCTGACTGCAAGAATTCCTGTAAGGTACTCACTTGCGTGGCGAATGCGACGAGCTTTCCAGATTGTGCTTCGCTATTGCAAGCGTTACTGCATGCTTAGAGCTGGCTATACGCGTGTCATCCTTCAACGCTTTCAGTAACTTCTGATGGTCTCTGTAAACGTGCAGTAGAAGATTGGCCAGTCCTCCGGCTTCCCTCCAAATGTAGCCAGCTCGGAAAGCTTCCGTGGTCACCGCACAAGTATATGAAATATAGTATATATAGTTATATAGTATATGAAATATACTTTCACAATAGAAATAATAAACGTATTTACTCGTCAAACATTCTTTTCGAACTCAGTTCTAGGCTTTACAGTTAAAAATATTTTTACTTCGTTACTTACTTATTAAAAGTAACTAACTACTTAATTAACTACGTTACTTAAACTTATTTTACTACTTACTTGGATAACCATCGACGTCAGTAGTTGACCTATATGTCAATAAATTAAAGAAATTAGTGAGGAATTCATCCAAAATTTCCTAAATTGTTGTCCCACAACTCTTAGTTTTTGCATCTTCATAATGCGTCGTCTTATAGTAATCTTTTTCTTCGTAACCATGTTACCAAAAATTCGACGTAACTATCGTATTAATAACAAAATCATTAAGGTGAATAATAAAGATTTGTAATTTATGTACAAATTTTAACCTATTTTTTTCCCACAGATAAATAACAATCTATTATATATTTATTAAATAATTAATTAATAACAACAAATGTAGGTAAACAGGCATTTAGATTGTATTCATTGTATAATTGTTTCATTTCACCGTTTCAAATTATCTCTATTTCTGTCACATATTTTTCTGTTTAGAATTAAAAAAAAAATAAAGTCGATTTATTATTCATTTTTTATAGGTCTGCTTATTGAACCTTTGGTGAACTTTGGTGAATGCATTAAAAAATAAAAAGAATTACCAAGAATGTCAGAACTTCAGTCATCTTTACTATTAAAGAAGCAATTGGCAGGTTAGTTTAATAATGAATACGTATTTCCTGTTTGATTATTTTTTAAGATATTCACTTACACTTTATTAATATACCATAATTAATCTGTTTTCATTTTCCATCAAGTTTTTATCCAAAATGTATGTACTTTTTATATATGTTTGTTTGTTATATTGTTTTCGTCACAGTAGGCACAATACATACGTTAGGTACACATTTTCTGTTAATATTGATAAATACATATGTATGTATATAATATAAGCTTAAATATTCATATATGTAAGCTTAAAATAAAAATCGTATCTATACAAAACTATGTACATGTGTATGTACACACATTCAAATGTACACAAGCCGGCTATTCTGATGTTCTTAAGTACATAAATGCTCATAAATGCTAAATGTACATATACATATGTATGTATGTATTTATACATAAATAAGCATTAGCTTTTTAAGTAGTATTTTCAAATTCTTTCTTTGCTGACCCAAAAATTTGGATTTTTTTTTATATCACAGTCTTTCGATATTGTACACCTATCCGACGTTGGATTTAATAGCCTAGTTTGCATAGGAACAAAAAATCCGAGCATAATATGAATGAGTGATAATAATGCTTTGCTTTGAGATTAAAAATCTGTAAAAAAAATATTTATGTTTTGTTTTCCATGAATATATTTTTTAATATAAAAACAAATAGATTTTCTTCATGTTATTGAAGTTACTCATAAAAAAAAACGAAGTCCGAACGAAAAAAAGAAGTCCAAAAAACTGGCAAACTCCAGATGGTTATCAATTTTGAACATTTTTATTTGCAATTTTTACCGGAATAAGTTTTACATACATATGTATGTACAGATTTGTTCATGAAAATAGCTGTGTAACAGCATCACAAGCACTTTGATGTTCATAACAAAAAAGTAAAGCTAACTTCGGGCGGATTCGAAGTTGAAATACCATTACAGCTAAAACCGGAAATATATTACAAACATCGGACATAGTTGGTCGACCCTTATGAGGATATCATAATATAACCAATTCATAACAATAAAAAATCTAAAAACAAAAAAACCCAAACTTGTAACTTCAAGAACACCAAAGTCGGTGTTTTTGCCATTTACCATTTCCGATAGTTCAGTTATATGGCATCTATATGTAAGATATAGTCGACCGATTGTTATAAAATTTGGTAGGTCTGATTAACTGACCAAAAATAGAATCTGTTCTGAGTTCCAGCTTTCTATCTTCAAAAACACAGAAGTTGGGTCACTTCCAATTGTTCAGTTATATGGCAGCTATAGGATATAGTCGGCCGATCCCGGCCGTTCCGACTTATATGCTGCGTGCCAAGGAAAGAAGGGTGTGTGCAAAGTTTTAAGTTGATAGCTTTAAAATTGAGATACTAGTTCGCGTAGTAAGACAAACGGACAGACGAACATGCTTATATCAACTCAGGAGGTCATCCCGATCAAGAATATATATATGTACTTTATAGGGTCGGAGATGTCTCCTTCACTGCGTTGCACACTTTTGGACAAAATTATAATACCCTCTGCAAGGGTATAAAAATAGCAGTCTGTAAATAAAATAATTAATTTTACTCAAGGTGAATCTCATAGCTCTTGATAGCATCAGGTGCGAAATGGTATATCCGCAACACCGATATCCACAAAGAGCTTGGCGTTCCTTTTATAGGTGACACTATTGGTGAAGGAATAACAGCTGCTCATGACAAAAGGCTAAAAACAAGGAGTTAGAGAGTTTTTTTGAATTTTGCATGAATGCTTTTTTTGTCCATATAGCTTCCATATAACTTAACCATTGGTGGGCAAACTCTCATTTCCCATAGCACGCGTGAATAGGGTCAGCGCTGCCGGCACACTGACAGTATGAGCACTCTCAAATTGAGGAATTTTTTTGGATTTGAATCCTAACTGGATTTGGAATTGAATTGGAAAAACTTTTTTCAAAGAAAAAGATAAAGATATAGATAAAAAAACGTAGTTTTTCATTTTTATACCCTTGCAGAGGGTATTATAATTTTGTCCAAAAGTGTGCAACGCAGTGAAGGAGACATCTCCGACCCTATAAAGTATATATATTCTTGATCAGGATCACCTCCTGAGTTGATATGAGCATGTCCGTCTGTCTGTCCGTCTGTCTGTCTGTTTCTACGCGAACTAGTCTCTCTGTTTTAAAGCTATCGACTTGAAACTTTGCACACACCCAAATATGACATGCCAAATTTCATAAGGATCGGCCGACTATATCTTATAGCTGCCATATAACTGAACGATCGGAAATGACCCAACTTTCGTGTTTTTGAAGATAGAAAGCTGGAACTTGGTACAGATTCTATTTTTGGTCAGTTGATCCGATCTACAAAATTTCATTAGGATCGGCCAACTATATCCTATAGCTGTATAACTTAACTGATATAACGATCGAAAATGGTATTTGGTAGATATATCAACTTTCGTATTTTTGAAGATTGAAGCTTGGGACTTTTTTTTAGATTTTTTATTGTAATTAATTGGTTTTATTATGATGTAACCATAAGGATCGGCCAACTATATCCGATGTTTGCGATATATATGCGGTTTTAGCTGCAAGGGTATATCAACTTCGGCTCCGCCCGAAGTTAGCTTTGCTTTCTTGTTTTAAGAACTTTTGCTAGCAACGCTTTCTTTAAAATAAAATACACTATTTTAGTGCCCATTAAAACTTGTGAATTAACGAAAAATGAAATAAACAAGAAGGGAAAGCTAACTTCGGGCGGAGCCGAAGTTTATATACCCTTGCAGTTAAAACCGGATATATATCGCAAACATCGGATATAGTTGGCCGATCCTTATGGGAATATGAATATATAATCCAATTTATTACAATACAAAATCTAAAAAAAGTCTCAAGCATCTATCTTCAAAAATACCAAAGTTGGTATTTCTACCAAAAACCATTTCCGATCGTTCAGTTATATGGCTGCTATAGGATATAGTCGGCCGATCCTAATGAAATTTGGTAGATCGGATCAACTGACCAAATATATAATCTGTACCAAGTTCCAGCTTTCTATCTTCAAAAACACGAAAGTTGGGTCATTTCCGATCGTTCAGTTATATGGCAGCTATAGGATATAGTCGGCCGATCCTTACGAAATTTGGCATGTCGTATTATTTTGCCAAAAATAGCTCTCACCTAAAATTTGAACTCTCTAACTTTTAAAACACCAAAGTTATACCATTTCCGATCAATCAGTTATATGGCAGCTATAAGATATAGTCGGCCGATCCGGGCCGTTCCGACTTATATACTGCGTGCAAAGGAAAGAAGGGTATGTGCAAAGTTTCAAGACGATAGCTTTAAAACTGAGAGACTAGTTTGCGTAGAAACAGACAGACGGACAGACGGACATGCTCATATCAACTCAGGAGGTGATCCTGATCAAGAATATATATACTTTATAGGGTCGGAGATGTCTCCTTCATTGCGTTGCACACTTTTGACCAAAATTATAATACCCTCTGCAAGGGTATAAAAACTACGTTTTTTGCTCAGTGAATTCTCTACTTTCATTGTTTTTTACTGCTACGCATACACTTTAATTTTAAAAATGTGTGCCTTTTGCACACATCATCATCATATCATTATCACTGGATAATGAAACATTTTTCAATAAAATTACATATCTATTGGGTGGATAGGGTGTTATAATTTTGGTCAAAAGTCTGCAACGCAGTGAATAAGACATCTCCGACCGGAAGTACCATATTTTTTATCAGGGTCACCTCCTGTGCTTATAAAAGCATGTCCGTCTGTTTGTTTCTACGCGAACTAGTCTCTCAATTTTAAAGCTATCGACTTGAAACTTTCTTTTGCACGCAGTATATAAGTAGGAACGGCCGGAATCGGCCGACTATATTCTATATATTTTATCAACTTCGGCTCCGCTTGATGTTAGCTTTTCTTTCTTTTGATTTTATAAATTTTCATATTTTAGAAAACCATTTTTTTTTAAAGATTTTTTTGTCTTTCCAGAACTATTATATTCAAAAAAAAAAAATCCAGAAAATATAGAAAATATTAAAAACAATTATGCACATATTTCTTTCAAAAGTATGCTAAGAATACATACTTTAATACTTCTTGCTTTCATATAATACATATTTATTCTCAATGTATGTATATATGTATATTGAAGGGGTGCCCCTTCCATTGCTCTCGTTGCTCCTTTGTTTTTGGAATTGCTCTTTCATATGGACAATGCAAACTCATATACAGAAAGAAAGCATATAAGAAAGCACTACTTTTTTGAGTATGTCGACATAGACGTCTTGGTCCATGATCCCATCGATCATATGTATGGGACCACACCGCTGTACGTAAAACAAGCCCATATCAATATTTTAGGGCCACCGTGCATAACGGTCTTAAAAGGGTGGTTTGGGTGGTTCTCAGTGTTTGGGGGTCGTCGGACATACTGTCTGGAACCTGTCCCACCAAACGAGACCAGTTTGGACTCATCTATCCAAAGAATATTGTGCCATTTCGTCACTGGCCAGTTCAAATGGCTTTTGGCAAACTCCAATCGAGCTTGGATATGCCTTTTACCAAGTAATGGCACCTTTTGGGGGCTTCTCGCATTTAAATTTTTACATGGTTATTGTGTATTTTCATTTAAATTATATTAACAAACTTAAGCAAACTCACTTTAGCTCCTCTTTTACATCCCTAGAAGATACAAAAGGATTCGCTTTGCTGAAGCGCGCTTTCATTCGGCCCTCAATATCGGTGGTTTTTAGTTTGGACCCACGTGTTTCAGCCTTCCCTCATATTTAATGGCATTGGATACCATTTTGGCAAAACAATTTACCATATCTTGGATTTTTTATGGGGTTTTCCCAGCTTTCTAAGCTGAACTATGACATTCCTCTCTTCCTTTGAACAGTGGCGTCCTTTACCCACTAAAAACCGAATTTTTACATGGTTATTGTGTATTTTCATTTAAATTATATTAACAAACTTAAGCAAACTCACTTTTCGTCAAATTTTTAATGTTTTTGGCATTTTTTGTGGATCAAAATGAAAAACTGCTATTTTTATGAACAGCCAAAAACATGTGATTTTAAACAAAAATGCCCAGAAAACGAAAATAAATAGTAAATCTAACGAAATTTTTGTACTTTTCCTATCTCTATATTCCATTTTACAAAAATAATGACCAAGCGATCAACTAACTAAAAGGAAAATGCAAAAATTACCGTTCTTTTACTTCGTTGCTACTGCACTGCTATTATTATGAACACAGCTGTACGTGTGTGACTCCCAGCATAGGCAAGGGGCATATACAACAACAATTTTTCGATTTTTTTCCTATTCTTCTTTTGTTGTTGGATTACAAAAACTTTTCACTGAAAGATATTCATTCATGTTTTTGTTTCTGTCAAAATGGTCGACCTGAAGCGATGAATTTCTTGTTCGCAGAACATTTGGTTTCAAGTAAGAAGCTCTGCATTATTTTTCAATAGTTTAATAAGCTGTTTCAAAAAAAATATAATGGTTTTCTAGTTGCTATAATAAAATGAAAAAAAAAATAAAAATGAAAAAAATAATATATATTTTTTATATTTATTTTTTTAAGCCCTTTGTGAATGTTACTATAATTGTAGTTTTCAGTGCAGACACATGGATGGGAAAAAAAAAGTTCTCGCATCAATGTATTGGTGATTTTTTTCATTGGTATGGGAGTTTGCTCTGCCGTATGCACTCCTGATATTTTGCATCGAATTTTACGCTTAAGTATTCCGGTTTTAAATCCTCTATCCATTCTTTTTTTATAACACCCTTCGATTAAACCATGGATGGATGCTTTTTATTAAAAAAAATCATGATGTAACGTTTATGAAGTTGAGAATGATAAACTGGGAAACAAGGAACTTTGCCCTAAAAGCCTATAACCTATGAAACTTTTTGTAAGCTCTGGATTTCCTATTCTTGAGACGAGAAAATTGTTTATTAAACAAAGGTGTTTTGTTTATAAAAGTGATAAGGCTTTTGAAACATACTTGTTCGCCGCATAATGAATTATTTCGTCCAAAGAATCCGTAGCAGCTTCGTGAGAATAAAATTGACAAAAATTTCTAATCAATTTCAGCCAAATGATTTCGAAGGGCATTATAATACGTTTTCCAAAAACATTTGGAGCGAGGGTAAACTTAAAAAAGCAAACATAGTTAACAAGGAACATCGATTAATACAGAAGCTCATAGTGTAGGAAGCGATAGCGGCGACGAGCGAATTGCTGTCTCATTGTAGAATATAAGTTGGAAAAGTGCAACATCAGTTAAGCCATCGTTGAAGCCACTATTTCAACTGGAAAGCAGTGAATTGACTTTCTTATACAGAGGGGAAGGGTAAATGAGGCAATAGACAAAGAATAGACGATCCAATTGAAACCCATTGAACAGCCAAATTTCAGTAAAATCAACAAAGCATTCTTAATAAAAAATTGAGTCAATTTACCCAAAATACTTCGAACTTTCCAGAATACTAGGACTTTTCAATAAACTATGACTTCCCAGAATCCTCGGACTATTTTTAAAGAGCATATACTACGCTTGTGTTTACAGCTATTTTTTTTTTTTTTACTGTAAACCGTTAACAGTCTATTTTATTAGTAGCTTCTAAAAGAAAGTTTTACAGGTGACTCCTAGGATCATCATCAGTATAATATGGCATAAGGCGGGAAACTAATATGGCTTTGTGGGGAAGAAGGAGAGCAAAGAAGATCAGGCGCCGAAATTTGCTTGCGAACATCAAGAAAACCATTTCTTCTCTCTCATCTCTTCTCATCATAAAATCTCAGTCTTAATTTCTCTGCCTAAAGTCTGGGCTCTCAACTTTCTTCAAAACTTGGCAAATGTTTGGAAAATAATGTAATTGAATAAGTTCCTTTCGACTAGTATATATTTCATTCCGATCGGACGTACACAAACAAATTTGATTCCTCGGCTATATTGTCCCCCTACAATAATATTTACTATATGTCTCTTGTGTATAAAAAATGTACATACATATGTGGCGGACAAAATCCAGAAGCAAAAAGTTTCTTACAAAGAAATACTTTCTCTATATCAGTCAATATGACTTAGTTTAAATAAACATTTATGATTTTATACAGCTCTTGTTAGTCTCGCAAAGTAAAGATTCATAAAATAAAACCAAGGTTAAAATATATATATATATGCCAGTGGTGCTCACAAATGTAAGCATTAAGCATACGACCGTTTACAATAGCGGTGAGCGAATAAAGACTGGGCAGAACACTGGTCTGAAAAGTTTAAAATATAGTTGCAAGATGTAATAAAAAACATTTTGTAACACTAATTTTAATTTTGATATATTCGTAACTTTATTTATAGTCTTTAACTAATATAAGGAAAAATAAATAATCGGTAAATCGACAAATAAAGAAAAATACCGAAAAAAAAAGAATATATAAAACAAAGAAAATTTGTTTTTTTTATTTTTCCGGAAAATCCTTTATTCTCCTTCCTTTATAAAAGAAAATATGCATTTAATGTGCATTTTAATGTTATATGTATAACATATATGTATATGAGTCAAACTAATAATTGCTTAATTTTTTCCCGTTTCAGAATTAAACAAAAATCCAGTAGAAGGATTCTCAGCCGGTTTAATTGATGAAAATGATATATTTCGATGGGAAGTGTTAATAATTGGACCACCAGATACACTTTAGTATGTCAACAAATTAATTTTATTTACCTCGCTCTAAATTATAAATACGTATGGTTTTTGTAAATGTAAGATGTTTTTTTTTTTTTTTTTTTTTTTCTCCTTGTTACTCCTCTCGGGAGCTTAGGGCCTCTACAAGGGCTCTCCACCTAACTTTTATTTTTTCCGCTGTTTTTGCTTTATTGTGTCCCAGCTGATGTTCTTCCGGGATATTTCTAGCAGTGCTGTACGGCGCCAGGTCATCTTTTTGGGCGACCCACTCTTCTGCTTCCTTGTGGGTTCCACCATTCCAGAGCCATTCTTACGATGCTTCCTGGTCGTCAACGGGTTGGCGGGGTGGTTGGTTTTCTTCTCTTCTTGTATCAGTTTCGTTAATCAATTGATTTTTTCAGTTGATCTGGTGATTAGCTAGGTGCAACCTATCCCAGAGGTGGGGCTGCCACCTGTTGATATCTGGGAATACCGTTTTTCGACCTCACATGTTTAGTAGCATCGGAAAAGAGACCACTAACCATAATGAGGCCGAAAAACTTTGGAGGTCATGATTGCCATGAGTGGGGTTAAATGTAAGATGTTATAATATGGTAAATATTTATCAACACAGTAGACAATACTTATTACAATTCGTTTGGTCTTGTGATGACCTGAATTTGCCGTCTCGCGTTAGCGGTTCTCTTTCTCTTCCCAGTCGATTTGCGGTATGAATTTGTTCGAGCTTTACGCACGGGCACTCGGTCTTTTCTCTCCCGGACGTACTTTCTAACTTTCGTTCGCCCATGGTGTGCGACTTTCTTTTTAAATGCATTGCCATATAAGTACCGGGAAGCCTTAACCGGAGTGGTTGGTCGTCGGCAGTGGTCTGACGCAACATATCCCAATAAATTTAAGGGGTTATGAGCAGTTGGGATTTTCAAAAAAATTAAAATATACATATATAGACCGGGTAACTTTGAACGCGTTTTTCTTTAAACAGCGTTTCTAACGTCCGTGATCTCGATTTCTTGAAAATAGATAAACTAATAGGTCTGACATTTTTACACAATCTTCCCCAGGTAAAGCCTAGTACTCTGACGACGAAAATCCGCTGTCACACGTGTGAATTTTGACAGCCAAAACATGGAGCGAAAATTGAGAGAAAAAAATTGTCGGACCGAAAAATTTTCGGCCCGCGAGGATAAAGTCAATCTATTAGTGCGGTCAGGGGGAAGCCCATAATATGGGATTTGACCCACAAGGGGCTTTTTAATGCCATAAAATGGCATTGAAATGTTTTGTGATTGATTTTGATTTTGACCCAGTTTTCTTTTTCTTAATCAGCTCCTTAGCTGCGAAATACATAAACAAAACACCAACATCCAATCGGTTTGAATTCATTTTTGCTTATTTGTTTTTTGTTTACAAAAAAACAGCTGTTCAGTATTAACCTTTTTCTCCATTTTTTTGGTCACACTAGCTCGGTAGCCAAATAAAGAGCGATTTCGCTAGCACACGTGTGCAGCGAATTTTCGTCGTCAGAGTACTAGGCTTTAAGCACAAAGGAATTTGTTTTCAAAAACGTTATACTACTTTTTTTTTTTTTAAACTTAATGAAAAAATTGCAACAAATAAAAAATGTTTATCAATAAAATTTTGTGATTTTTGATATTGCAGTATCTAAATTCAAAAAACTCTATCCGAAAGACAAAAACGAGATCACCGAAAAGCTTCCCTTTTTGGAAGACGTTTCTTACAACGGCTACAGAAGTATAATTGGAAATTATTTTTACATAATCGACATGCTTTTATCATCTTAAATGAAGCATCTACATACTTAAGTAAATTCTAATTGCCTTGAAACATCTTAAGTTCTCTTCATAAACTAATTTCAAAAATCCTGTATTTTTGGGTCGCGTACCTGCGTATAACTCTTCAAAAGTTAGCTAAAGCAAATGATTCTCTCCTAGCCTAAAATACAAGAGCATATAACTGTACCACACAAAGATATATTATACTGTATAAATATTTATTATTATTAATAATAAAATGTTTTACTCGTTTTTTTTATGCATTTACCCACAGCGAAGGAGGATTTTTTAAGGCACATCTTTACTTTCCAAAAGAATACCCTTTGAGACCACCCCGAATGAAGTTTGTTACAGAAATATGGCACCCAAATATTGAAAAAAATGGAGATGTCTGCATATCCATTTTACATGAACCCGGAGATGATAAGTGGGGCTATGAAAAGGCTTCGGAGCGCTGGTTACCGGTGCATACAGTGGAAACAATATTGATATCGGTAATTTCAATGCTGGCTGATCCAAATGACGAGTCTCCAGCAAACGTCGACGCCGCAAAAGAGTGGCGAGAATCATACATCGACTTTAAGCGCAAAGTAGCTCGGTGTGTCCGAAAAAGTCAAGAGGAGTGCTCGTGAAGCAGATTTTGCCCATATTTGTATATTTATATAAATAATTTTATACATTAAAAGGATTAAATGAATTAAAAAAGAATTTTGAAGTGTTTCTTTTTTTCTTGCGTTTTCTTAGAATTGGCTCGGTCACAATTAGTGCACCAGCTAGCATTCCTACATTCATCATAAAGCTTAGATGTACAGACGACCGGGGGCGCTCAAGAAAAAATTTATTAAGGAAATTAAAAATATTTTTTTTTTAATTTGAAGGACAGGAAAGAGAGATCATAGATCAAACCATTGTAGTTCAAACATAATATTAAAATAAAATCGTGTTAGTTGGTAAATGAGGTTATGTATAAAAACGACACCCAGCATTGTTTTACGATAAAAAGACTTTGTAAAAGAGTTTGTATTTTGATCCATTAATTATTAAATCATTCGCTAATCACTATTTTTGAAAATTTTTGAGATCGGACTGAAATTTGCCTTGGGCAGAAGCAGATTTGTATTGAAGACAAAGCCCAACATCGTTGGCATACATGAGTACTAGAGAGTTCGTAAAAGCAGGGGGAAAGTCGTTTAAGGGGAGGGTAAGGTCAAATCATGCGAAAAAAGCCATGTTTTTGTGATTTTTTTCCTGACGACACAATTAAAATTTGGTTATTTATTCATTTGGGTGGTTATTCAACCAACGGTATATTAAAGTATGACATTAGAAGAATGTTTTATCAAATTTTTACTAAAAAATATGGCAATGGTAGCAATTGTCTGGACGTGTCGCCAAAAAAAGTTGAATTACGGTGCCGCTCATAACTCGGTGCTGGATCATGTGAAAACAAAAAATGAAAGTTCATTCGTTAGATAATAGTTCGCCCCAGCTAACGCTGTAAAGGTTTTTTAAAATTGCAATTTTTTAATTTTTTCGAAGACTTTGAAGTGACAAAACACACTTTTTTCAAAAAATTGGGAAATTTTTGGAAAAAAAATCGGTTAATTTGTCATTGCAAAATCAAAATTATGAACAAAAAAAACTCGACAGCGTTACCTCGTAAAATATGTACAGAAATAGTGTTAAAAATTTCAAAAGGATCGGTGCAGTAGTTTTGAAGTTATGAGGGGTACCGACTTTGAAAACGTGAGTTGTGGGAAAAACGCTTTAAAGTTTTAAACACAAAAAAATCCAGTGTAAAACTTCGTCAATTTTGCTTTAATTGACTTGAAATTTTGAAAAAATTTAATACCTTACCCTCCCCTTAAAAAAAAATAAACAGTAAAGGGCCAAGATAACTTCCTTGGCCTAATCAGAGGTCGCAGACAAATTTTCAAACGTAAGCAGAGGTAGAAATATTCATGTTTACGCTTTGTGTTTACAAAGTTATAAAACTGGTTATCCTGAGTAAATTAAATCCAGCAGCGGCGATTACAATTCCTTTAACATTCAGCGTTATGCACGGTAAAATTTGACCGAGCTAGTAGATAACTTGAAAAATCGATACTACTGCAGGTTTTTTATATTTAAGTAAGAGCCTGTTTTAAGTATTTTTTAAGTTTGTGAGGCACTTAATAAACCACGAGGATTTGTTGAAGCTGACGGATATTTTCATGGCACACATGACTCAAAAAAAGTGTTTAAAGCAGTGGAGGGGAAACTCTCAATTTCCATAACACGCGTGGATAGGGCCCGAAAGTCTGCCGCAGCGCTGCCGGCACATTGACAGTGTCAGCACTCTCAATTGTTTTTAGAAGGGGTCTCATTTGCTTACAGTTTGCGTCACTTGACAGCTCCAACTTTACAAAAAAAAAAGATTTTCCTGAGAAAAGTTTTCGAAGAAATTTTGTTGTAAGAAGTTTCTTCCATATAAAATATAGATAGGGAAATATTTGTTTAGGAACTGTTGCTTAAAAAGCATTCTTTAATATAAAATTCATTTTAGTGCCCATTAAAGCTTTTTAAATAACGAAAAATAAAATAAAAAACCTAGTTTATTTTCGCTCAACTGCGCTCAGCTCATGAATGCTGTGTTGTCATTGTTTTTATTTTGCTTACGCACACAATCAAATGTTAAACATGTGTGCATTTTGCCCACCACTGCACTATAGTAAATTTGACCACTTTTCCTGGCCAAAAATAATATCTCAAGAACGAAACAAGATATTTAAGTACTGATTTTCGATTTGAGTTCACATGGTCAATAAATTTCAGATATAAAAAATGTTGGCGTGGCACCGCCCAATATTAAGAAACTTTGAGTTTATATGGTCAAAGAAACTCAGATTTGAAAAAATTGTGTGCGTATTTAAAAATAACATGCGAACTCAAAAACTAAGCAAGATATTTGAATTTGGTTTTTTTTTTTTATGTTTTATAAAGCCATAATCTTCTTTTGGAAAAGTAGGTGTGTTTTTTTTTTTTAAATTAAAAATCTTTTAATTTTTTTAAATTTAAATCGTTTTATCACTAGTCTCACAGCTAACAGATTCAAATTTGAGGTTTTGAGGTTGCGGTGTGTTGTTAGGTTGCCTCCTTAAAATATGAATTTCTTCAAAAGTGCATAAAAGTTGTAATCTACAACATGGACTAAATTACAATGTTTAATTCGGCTCGACTTAGTTTAAATCTCTTTTTAAAAATGAGATTGAATTGTTTGCTAGTCTACTTACATTTTCACTTTAAGCTTAGTACTCTGACGACGAAAATCCGCTGTCACACCTGTGCTAGCGAAATCCCTCTTTATTTGGCTACCGTGCTAGTGTGACCAAAAAAATTAAGGAAAAGGGTAATACTGAACAGCTGTTCTCTTTCTCTCTCTCTCTCTCTAATATTTCTCTTTCAATTTTCGCTCCATGTTTGGGGTGTCAAAATAAATCAAATGAATTTTGTTTACACCCCGAGATCAACTGTTTACTTTTTTTGATCCGGCATCGCCATTCAATTTGACAGCCATCATTTTCGTTGTCAGAGTACCGGCAAAATCTTGGAGGCAAAAATTTCTTCTTCCTTTTTTCACACCGTTTTTTTAATATGGAGTTCGGCCGCTGTAACACGTGTGACATTTCCGTCGTCAGAGTACTAGGCTTTACTAAGAAGACAACACAAGTTTTTTGGGCACTTCACATACACAAACACATAATACAAGCCACATTGAAAAAAATTAATTTCAAAACATTTGATTTTGTCCATAAAATCACTATTATAGTTTTTAAAATCGCTCCCAAAATGGTAAGTTGTGAGCTCATGTAAATGTCAACATCAACAACTGTTTTTAACAGCTGATTTCTTCGCAGTGGCGCCATTTTTGTAAACTTCTGGTATGCAAAATTAAAAATTTTTTATATTGTGAATGATATGCAGTTAAAATTATTTAAATTCGTAAACTTTCAAAAATGATTTTTGGCCAGAAAAAGGTGTCAAATTTCCTTCAGTGCACTGATTTAAGGGGACCCTCCCCCATTCTCGATTTCAAATTTTGACGATTTTCAATGGACTGGCAAATGGACATAAATTATTTTTTGTTTATTATTTTAAAGACAAAAAGGAAAAAAAATTTTTTTTTTTTTGTTTTTTTGTAATCAAACAATAGCCCTTCTTTTCTGCGGCGCATGTGATTTTCGCTCACTGGAACATTAGAAACCAAAAATTCCAACGGTATTAGAAAGAGTACATGTTTGGCTCTGGTATGAACTAGGATTATTAATTTCACACAAAAATTAACACAATGGCGGACCTTTGAAATTTTGTTCTTAAAAATTGCTTTTTTTCAGCCACAAATCAAGTCGAAAAGTAAAGAAGATCTTCACCGATTTTATTTATCCTAGTTCATACCAGAGCTATATATGTAAAGAATTACGTATTAAAATTTGGATTAATAGGACCGATTGGATTAATAGGATTTGAGTAACCTCATGCGCCAGTCGTAAAAACACTGTTTCGAGAAAAACGCGTTTAAAGTTTTGAGACGCCTCTCGCCGTCGCCTGACGCTTCCACCATAAATCGGCTATATCTTCAAGAGTTTTTGAAATTTTCACTTGAAATTTTAAAGGAACATTTTTGAATAGTTAATAGTTCAAATAGTGAGAAAAACCTTTTTTTTATTTTATTTTTCGTTAATTCAAAAGTTGGAATGGGCACTAGAATAGTGTATATTATTTAAAAAAAAAGCTTTGCTGGCAAAAGTTTCTAAACAAATGAAAAAACTTGTTCCAATCCAATTCCTGAAAAAAATGTTCTCAGTGGAAACTTTTTTTTGTTTGGGCTGTCAAATGAGGCAAAATGGGAGCAAATGAGAAAACTTCTAAAAAAATTTGAGTGCTCATACAGTCAGTGTGCCGGCAGCGCTGACCCTATCCACGCGTGCTTTGGGAAATGAGAGTTTGCCCACCAATGGTTAAGTTATATGGAAGCTATATGGACAAAAATAGCATTCATGCAAAATTTGAACTCTCAACTCTAAAAACACCAAAGTTATAGCTATAGTTATTCCCGATCAATCAGTTATATTGTATGGCACATATAGGATATAGTCGGCCGATCCTGGCCGTTCCGACTTATATACTGCATGCAAAGCTGCCATATAACTGAACAATCAGAAATGACCCAACTTTCGTGTTTTTGGAGATAAAATGTTGGAAGTTCGTACAGATTTTATTTTTGGTCAGTTAACTGAACGATCGGAAATGGTAATTGGTAAAAATATCAACTTTGGTATTCTTGAAGATAGAAGCTTGGGACCTAAAACGATCCGTCCAATAGATTTTGCAGGATCGCGTACACAGCAAAACTAGTTTTCTTCGCGGGCCGCTGGAGATTCCTTGTGTCGCATTTAATTTTAAATATTTTTGTTGTTTAAATGTTGCCCTATCACACGCAAAAACCAAAATTGAGCTAAAACTATTAACAAACAAGAAAGGAAAGCTAACTTCGGGCGGAGCCGAAGTTTATATACCCTTGCAGTTAAAACCGGATATATATCGCAAACATCGGATATAGTTGGCCGATCCTTATCTGAATAGGAATATATAATCCAATTTATTACAATACAAAATCTAAAAAAGTCCCAAACTTCTATCTTCGAAAATACGAAAGTTGATATTTCTAC